CAAATCATAACTTGATGCCTGGCAACGTGCTTCTGTCACAGAATTAAATATCCCTCACACTCTCAAGGGCCCCATGCCTCTCCTCATCTAAATCTATAATTGATTATCCAATTATTATTTTTTTGCCCATAAAAACATTCAAAATTACCTAAGGCCTGCTCATAATTATCTTATTTCTTCAGCTTCAGTACAGCATAACATTTGTGGTGGACATTGGGATTGGCTCTCTCAGTACATCGTCCAGCCTCTTTTGAGAATTCTTCACTCCACTGCAGTCTGGAAAGCAAATTCTTTACTGCCCAGACTCCCTTGCTCCTAGGTTCTGGATATGACTTAGGCTCTGACAGAGTACTGGTGGGAAACTTGAACTTGGAACTGAGTTAAGCGGAGAGAGAGGCAGGGCTTGGAATATTCTTTTTGTTTGGACAGACTGTAGCATCCGTGGCTAGGTCTGCAGCCAGCATCTGCGACAGCATCTGCTCAGCTCAGCAGATGGCTTCTGGGTCATGGCAAGAGAAGCAGCTCCGCTGGTGGCCGAGTTCTGCATTGTGGCTTTGGGGTTTGTTCCTGGAAGCTTCCACTGGCACGTGTTTTTTAAGCCGACCCGTTGATTATGTATGTCATTTTAATAGCCTGCAATAAATCCTCTTCTGATTAAATGGCTTGAGTGAATTTTGTTCTCTGTGATTGGATCCTGACTGATACAATATACAAATTACTGTTGAAAAATGTCACTGGCCTTTTTGTTTTTCTATGTCATTTTTGTAATTACATGCACAGGAAACATAAAGTGAGGTTGGCATTACTTGTTACATTCAGATGAGTTGTTCATATTGACAATATCAAGTAAACTCTAACAAATAATTTAGGCTTAGGTCTGGATTTTTAAGAAACTGACATGATTCTTCTAAATGTATTTGTGGGATTGCCTTTAAACAATAGATCCTGTCTGAATGTGATATTTTATATTTTGAATGGAACTTATGGATTTCTTCTGTGTGTTATAAATAATTTATATATAACTAAGTCATGATATTCCTTTAGATAAATGGGCAAGGAGTGTAATCATATAACTCTTAAAAAAAGGAAATAAGGAAAAACATCCCATCAATGTATCAGTGTGTGTTTTCACTCTTATCAGTAATGAAAGAAATGCAAATTTCAAAAAAAGACATGAGTTATGTTGATTTACCTCTTAATGAAATGAGCAAAGGGAAATCAGCAGGACTACAGGATGCTGGCTAGAGAGCAGTGGATGACCCCTCATATACGGGAGGAAGGCAGAGAAGGGAGGGCCCCTGGGTTCTGTGGGATGGCAAGAACTGTAGACAAGCTCAGGTTACCTTAGGTGGCAGGAATTTATCGAATGGATGGATGTCTGAGGAGGGAGGAAAAACAGGAAATGTAATCGGTCCTCAAGTCCCCTAGCATGTTCTTCAGGGTCCGGCAGTCCTAGTGGTCTGATAGCAGTTGTGGTTGCTTGGTAAGAACTTTAGTTGTTCACACAGAAGCTGAGATCCAATGCTTCCTCCTCTAGTGTCATAACGGTGACTCAGGACTTTCTAAAGCCTGGGTCCAACTGGCTGAATCAAGAAAGGAGTTCATGGGTTCTTGACTGGAAAGGTTAAGGGCAGGGCTTGCTCAGAATACCTGGATGAGGGCCTTCATAGGGTTGGTTATTCTCTTTGTCTCTGTCTTTCTTTGTCTCCCCTGCTTTCCAATGAATTGACTGAACTTCAGCACAGGCTCTCCCCATGTGGTAGCCCCTGGTGGCTTCATTACCATCTCGAATCCTCAATTTCCTCATTCCCGAAAAAATGGAGCTATAAGCCACTTATAAGATCCAATGAGATAGATTATACATACAGCTAAGTGAAATATGCCAGGTAGTGAAAGACAAATACCACGTGATCTCACCTACAAGTGGAACCTAATCAACAAAACAAACAAGCGAGCAAAATAGAACCAGAAACATGGAAATAAAGAACTGACAGTGACCAGAGGGGAGGAGGCAGAGGGAAGGGGGATTACAGTGGAAAGAAGGGAAAGGCTCAAGGAATATATATAAGGGACCCACGGACAGGAACAATGACAGGGGGGTTGAATGTGGGAGTGGGGATGGGCAGGGCAGGGGATAGCAAAATGAGGGGGAAAGGGGGACAACTGTAACTGAACAATAATACAAAAATTTTTAAACCCACAGTGTTTCAGGGGAATTTTTTTAGTTGCTATGAGCCCAGTGGTTTGCTTTAAAACAGTCATTCTTTCAACTTGGCTCTTATACCATCTTCCCTGTTTCTGATTATTAATAAAATGATATATATTTTATTGATAGGACTGTCCTGTGATTTGGCACATAGGGGAAAAATTATCATTCTAAGAATATCAAGGATGAGGGGCATTGCTATTCCTTCATATGTTGACATCTTAGAAACAGAATTTGGGGTTCGAGGAGCCAGTGGAGGTGTCTCAGGGACCACAGTGTGTGGGGGGAGGGGTGCTGGGAGGCAGCCAGCTAGGGCTGGATGAGCAGGACTGTCCTGTCTGGTCAGAGCAGCCCTGCCTGCATGATTTCTACTTTGGGATTCTATGTAAGATTCTACATCAGAAAGGAGTGTAGTAATACCAAAATGGCAGCAGCTTTGGCAGCAAAAGAGAAGAAATGAGCCAAATGAAGACTGAACTCATTCAAACAGAACAAAATTAAACACCACTTGATCAAATCTAGAATCTGATATTAAGAAACTGATTAGTTACAGCCCAAAGTTGTTCATGCTTACTTGTCTTAAGCCCAAAGTGGTAGGCTCCCTCTTTCTCCTTGCTCACACCTGGGACTAAGGACTCCAGGAAACCTTGGAAATGGAAGAGCTCAACTGAGCCACTTACACTTGTGGCAGACAACATTATTAGCCTCTAGAGCATTCTTAGTTCTGTCCAGTGAAATGTGAGTGGGGGTAATGTGTGTTACTCAGTGCAGAAGTGATGAAAAGCTGATGCATCATTCTCCGGACTTTCTCTTTTCCTGCCATGGTGATCTAGAAGGCCAAATGATGATGAGTTTCTGTCCCCCTGAGTCTCCAGTGGCTGCACAGGGCACTGGATCCTGCTGACCTACAAGGGCTGTGTACCCTGAGTGAGCAAGAAGGCTTAGTATTCTGAACCTTAGGGTTGCTCTGTTACAGTAGCATAACCTAACTTCCATGAAGAAACGTGTAAGCTCTAGGAAGATTTTTCAAGATGTGAAATCCCAAGGGGCTGGATGGAAATGGATGGAGCCAGGAGTGTCAAGTGAAATGGGGGTGAAGTGGAGGCGGAGCAAGTAAAAGAACAGCTAGCTGAGGAAGCTGTGTGATTTAGTAGAAAAAGCGTGCACTTTGGAGTCAAATAGATCTACCGAGTATTCAAATTTAGGTTTCACTTCTTATTTTCTCTTCCCTTTTGACCAGGTAGCCAACCTCTCTCTCTTTCCTCGCCTTTAAAACAGAATAACTACACTACATGATTAGTGAAAAGATTACATTATATACACATGTGCATATGGTTAGTACTTAGCAGAGAATCTCACGGTTCTTAAGTAATCAATAAACTTAGGATCCTTTCTGTTAGTTCACTTATCTCAAATACTATTTCTAAGCTTGGTAGCTGCTAAGTTTTGATTCCATAGATTCTGCAACGGGAACGCCTTCAAGTGTAAAGTCCTCACTTACAAGGTCTGCATCCCTCGTGTCCCTGTGAGAGCTTTTATACTAGAAGGGAATGCTGCCGAAGCCGATGTCTTATTGCTTTATTTGTAGTACACTTGGATTCTGAAGAGGAAATCATTGGTCCGTGTCATGGAGTCTACAGTCTGAGTGAGGGAGAGCTTCTGAGAGAACAGTCTAGAGGCCGGCAGTCTTCTCCTCGCCGACGTTTCAGCTCCCCTCTGCCGGGTTCCTATAGAGCCGCCCCCTGTCCCTGCCTTTTCCTGCCTGGTCATTCATAGCAACCTTCCTTCAATCTGTTTGGTGCATTCAGCTCCTTCCATCCTGACCTTCAAGAAATATTTTAAATAAGCTGTATTCAAAACTAAAGAGGAACCATTACATCCAAAAATATAAATGTAAAAGCAAAGGAATACATGAGTTTACAGGGCAAGAAACTTGCCCCTGAGCAAAGCGGATCGCTCACTGGCCTCGGAGGCCGTAGCTTCGCGCTGACCCCCTCTGCACGCTCACTGTGAAACTACCTGGTCCTGAAGCGCTGTCTCTTCTTGAATTTTAGTGAAAAACTTCCCTTGATCCCACCCTGGTTGCACGTGGGGACCGGGTGTTAATTTCATATTACAAAAATGTCCTTAACTCTGGAGAATATGCAGAACAAAATATATTTTTCGGAAGTATGCACCGGATTGGAGAAAAATAGTTGAGATTTACTGTTCCAGTGACTGGAACACCAATTCTGAAAGTAAGGAGGCTGAGAGGGAAGCGAGAGGAAAAGCCTGAGTATCACAAGAAAAAGGTCCCCAGAGGCCCTGTACCGCAGCCTCGACTGGTAGCACTTGTTCAGTCTGGGCGTTTGTGACTTCATTTACCCACAGCTGTTTAAAGATGGGCATTTTTGAGGGGAGATTTCATTCAGACTTAGTGTTTTAAAGGAGCGTAGAATGGTTATCTGACTTTGAAAATCAAGAGGAATGTTTTAATGTGGGGAGCAGCAAATCTTTGGGGTCCAAGACCCCCTGGGTAGAGGTGGGGAAGTTTCACGGAGCCATTTACATCCCATTCCTTTTTGAGGCGCCTCCTAATGGAATCCCTCTCCCCCAGAAGCCCAGAGGGTTCAGCATTTTGCAGCAAAGAGTTGTTCTGCCCATTTGCAGAGACAAGATGATGGACACCCCTCGAGTCCAACCGGGGCGGAGCCCGTCCAGGCTTGCTGGAGAAGTCAGCTCCCATCCGGCCTGAGTCTCCAGCTGGAGCACCTTCCAGTTTTGTCCTGGTAGCCCAACCGTGGCGGTGCTGATGGCTACCAAGGAGAAACAGTATTTCCAAAGACACACGCAGAGGAACTAATTCGCGTTCAGAAATGAGTACCCACCCCCCTCCGAATTGCAACTTTTCTGCTTCTCCGACTTGGATTTGTTAAGTCCCCTCTTGGGACCGGCGCTTTCCCTCGCAGGACCCCACTCCTGGGTCTCCCCTTTCCCAGCTTCCACATCCCTCCGGGGCTCCCTTGCACCAGTTGCGCGGTTCGGGGCCCAGGAGCCCCTGGCGCAGCCTGCCGCTCCCGAGGCTCCACTTTCACTTTCGGTCTCGAGGCAAAACTGGCGGCCGCAGCGCGAGAGTGAGCCGGTTGTGTCCGAGACCCGCAGGTACCGTGGAGAGGTCCCAGGGCGCCCCGAGGGGAGGGGGCTGCAAGGCTGGAGGAGGGCGCGATCCCGGGGGCCGCCCTGAGCTTCCCGAGAAGGCCCGAGGGCCCGGGCAGGCCCCGACGCACGCTGGGGTCCTGCTACGAGGTGTGGGGGTTAGTCCTGGACCCCGGGCCCAAGTCTGACTGGAGGGGGTCCGGCTGGTGGGCAGGCCGGCGGGGGTCCTTCCCCACGCGAAGAAAGCGAGGGGCGCGGAGCTGGCGCGGCCACTCAGCCTGCTGCGGGCGCTTCGCTGCTTCGGGGCAGGCGGGAGCCTGTGCGCGCCGCCTGGAGCTTGGGTTCCTGCCAGGCCCTCGTCCACCCGAGCCAGATGGAGAAGTGGGTGGGTGGGTGTTAGAACTACAAGGGCACCTTGCGGATGGTGGCCAGAGAAACGAACGTGGCCTGGGCTTTCCTACTGGGCCCCAGGGGGTAGGCAGCTGGGATTTGCGTCTAAATGTCTCAAGAGTCAATTTTCTCCGAGCTTCTGTAAGTCTTACCCTCAATCGTCCTCACTTCGCTTCACCCCTAACCCGGTTCCATGCAGATCCCACTTTCCTTTTGAGCAGATTCATGTTTCCTGTGCGGGTGCCTCACTGGCCAGGTGGGCCCGCAAGTACATTTTATAAGGAAGGAGAACAGCAGATGACACTTCCTTACAGTTTTCATAGAGACTCCTTGTGTAGGCCAGATTCTGAAAGAAACGCCCTGGTTTCTTCCAAATGCCCACAGTATTTGCTCTCAACTCAACCTAGCACATGGACAACAATTAAAATAGTTGTAAAAATTGGCCAGAGTTGTCTATTTTCCTAATAAGTTGGAATTGTACTAATATCTAGCATATTTGCAGGTGGACCTGAAAAAAACAAACAAAAATCTATTGCATTAAGAAAGAAAGTTGACTTAATTAAACGTTTTTTATTGTTTACCTTCAGTGAGAAGTCATTATCAGGGCTTGTTAATTCCTTTGTCCAGAGCACTTGGAAAGAAAGTCCATCACCTCTCTTACGATCGATTTCACATTCCGTAGTGTCCCCATAAAGGGAAGGGTGAGCGAATCCAGTTGCCCCACACTTACCTTGTGAGTGGGAAAAGGCCGAATGGCCAAAGGCAGCCTAAGTAAAGTCCCCAAGTACCTGGAACTCGAACTAAGTGCCTGTAAATAAAGTTAGGTACTCTGTGACTGCTGCATTTTCATTGACCGCACTGACTATGGAAGATCGGGTACCAGAGAAAAATATTTTTTAAAACTCTAAGGGAGTATGGTCAAGTACAGGAAAGTCCTTTAAACCCCATCCCTGGGCTCTAAATCTGTGTATTCAACTGCCCTCTTGATATTTCCCCTTGGAAATATCATAAACATCACAAATTAAGCAAACTAAAATTTGAACCTTCGATTCCTCCCCTTCGTTTAAAATCTATTCCACCTCTCGTCTTCTCTGTCTCTGTAAAGGGCACCTACGGTCACTCATGTTCATTCTAGAAATCTAACAGCAATTCTAATGCCTCCTTTCCCTTACCCCTCACTTAGGATGATGAGTCCATTCATTTCCCAGTGTCTGTCTTTCTCTCCTCTCCCTCGACCCTCTTCCTCTCTTTGCCAGCACCACCCCAGTGTAACACACTAGCTTACTTTGTCTAGATTACTTATTAACTGGTCTCGTGGCCTTCACTCTTGCTCCTTTCTAGTCCTCCCTGCTTCACACAGCAACCAGGGTGATTTTCTTAAAGTGTGAATTGGATCCTAAGGCCTCGCTCAAAACCCAGTGGCCTCTCGTTGCTCTTAGGCTAGCATCCCAAATCCTTAAGCCTATGAGGCTGTGCAGTGGTCTGGCCCCTGCCCACCTGTCCAAGGCACGTCTGTCCTCCTGCATTCTGTGTGCTCCAGGTTCACCGGCCTTTATCAGGAGCACTTTCCACTGCCTTGGAGCCTGCAGGTAGGATTGCTGTTCCCCTGGTCGGGGAAACTCTCCCTCTCTCTCTTTTCTCAGCTAACATGAATTCGTCCTTGAAATCTCAGCTAAAAATGTCAGAGAGCCCCAGTGCAAATTAGTCATTCCCTGTCATTCTCTGTCAGTATGTATGTGTGCGTTTTTGCCAGGGACCTGTGCTATCTCGCACTGCTAGCAGTCAGCAAAGGCCCTGGCATGACATATAACAGGCCCTGAAAAAATATTTGTGGAATGAGTGATTGAAAATATTTTAACTCATTTAATCTTTACTACTATCTGTGAGAGAACTGCTCATCTCATGTTTCACATGAAGAACGTGAAACTGGGATTAAGTCACATGTCCAAGGTCACGCAGTACGTGGCAGAGCAAGACCTCGAAGCCAGGTTTCCTTTTCTGATTGTAAGCTGTATGTATGTATGTACGAGTGTACGTACATGTTGTAGGCAACAGATGGGTCGATACACGCTCTCAGAGACGAAAATTGGTTTCAAAGAATTTTAGTTTTATTGATCACAAAATAATAGTCCAAATATAAATTTGGTGGCCAAGCTTTACCTGCGCAGGGGCGAGCTTCCCCAAGTGTGACCGGAGTCATAGTAGCTTCTCAGAGCTACAGATGGAAGTCGCACGTGGCTTATAGACTACGGGGTTTTTATAGGGCAGAGCAAGCAAGCGCGGGCTTACAGAAGCAGATGTGGCGGTCAGCTATTAGCTAGGTTGCTAAGTTGAAAACGGAGAAGGTCCCTAATTGGTGGGTGTTGCTGCTGGCGGACCTCTTCTGGTGGGCCCTGGTTAGTAACCTTATTTGGCTAGAATTTTGAACCCAACTGTTCCCGGAGGTTTATTTATTACCCAGTCTCAGGAACTGCAGATGCCTAACGACTGTCTGTATGTTTCCACTACTAATGGCCATTACGTACGTACAATTAATATGCTTATAATTATATCTGTGTGTGTATGTATTCTGACATACAAGCTGTCTGTATCCCATGCTCCATTTGGGTTTCCTGGCACTGTGCCCTCCTTGGGACACAGCCGTGTTCTCTTTGGTTCCCTCTCCGCGTGGACGCAACCCTGTGAAGCCTTGGATGTGAGTTCTCACTGCCAACCGCCTTAGCAGCCCGTGGGCCTTGCTGTTGGCTCAGGACCAGTTGGGATGTTTAGATTTCCTCTCAGCTGTTGGAGAACACTCAGGGACGTCCAGAGTCCTCACGTGCCTGAACTTGAACTTTTACTGTACTCTGTACCATCTTGGGTCGCTGGCTGAACGCACTAAGCTACTGCCGTCAGAAGTTCCAAATGGAAGCCCCGCACACGTTCCCTTCACTTCTCTGACTTCCAAGGGAAATCCGCAGTTCTCCTCCTGCCCTGGGAGGTAGGGGCAAGAACACTTTACCATTTTGGTATTTAACTTCTATTGTTTTTCAAATTGCACCAATCCTTGCATCCTTTATAACGTTTCTAGCAAAAAGCAACTCCACCCCGCCCCACAACAATACCAAACAAAACTGTTCTTTTTGTTCGCATCTCTCTTCTGTCTTATTTGGTGGTGCCTTTGGAACTGGAATCATGCTGTCTCTGTGGCCGACGACCTCTCTTGTGTTGTCCTTTCTGTGTAGCCTGCAAATCCACTCCATGGGGAAGGGGAGGTAGGCTCCTTTAACTGCTTTTGATAAGGGAACAGGATGGAAAGTGAGGGGTGGGAGAAAGCATTCAGTGATCACACTCAACTAGTATCCCCTCATGTAGGGCTCAAGGGATAAGATCAAGGTTTGGAAAGGATTATCCAGGAGCTTTTCAACCTAGCTCTCCAACAGAATGTCTGGGAAGTTTAAAAAAATTCTGGTTATTTTCACATCATCGCCATAGATTCCAGTTTAATTGTTCTAGATAGGGATCATCTAGTCAAGAGTTATTTTAAAAGTCTCCAAGGCAATGTTAATATGTAGCCAGAGTTAAAAACCACTGAATGTAGGGAGAGTCCCATGAGTCACGATCATTTCAAGGGATCCACATTGCACCATTACCACTTTTCTCATCTGATCCAATTGTCTGGGTAACAGAGGAGTTGGAAGGAATTAGGGCCAGTTACCTGGGCTCACCTGGCAGAGACCCCTCCTGGCAGATATCCGTTGGAGAGACATCTTTGTTTAAGGCAGAAAAAGAAGTATGCTGGGTTCTCAGAGCTGGGCTGCCAACTCCCCTACAATTCCCAGTCAGGGCACACGCCTGGGTTGTGGGCCTGGTCCCCAGCATGGGTTGCCCCACCAGAGGCAACCACACATTGATGTTTCTCTCCCTCTCTTTCTCCTTCTCTTCCTTTCTCTCTAAAAATAAATAAGTAAAATCTTTAAAAAATAATATTCTCTTCCAAATTCTCCTGGGGCTCCCTTGGTCCACATCGATTGGCCGAACCCCCCTCTGCTTTCTCCCATTGTGCTTTAGGTCCCGCCCTGGCTTACTCCATCTTCAATGAACACTTAGTGCCCTCCCTTCATTTCCAAATCTGACCTAATCTTTCAGACGACCACCCTCAAAAGCTGGTCTTGCAGGGAGGCATCCCAGAGTCACTGCAGCCAAGTCACTCTCTTCCTTCAGGAAGATCATTCCATTCTTCCCCAGCACCCTCTTTTATTATTCTTACAGGGCTCCACACTTTCTGCTGTGTTTCGTTATTTGTATATGAATGTGTCTGCCTTTCCAGGTTTTGAAGTCTTTGGTTGGGGATTATGTCTTGTGTATTATCATATTCCACACTATATTTGGCACATTCAACACGTATCTGTTGGATTGATCGTAAGACAGAATCCATATGACAGGTGTGTTTGTCATACACAGTGGTGAAAATCACCATAAACTCTTTTAGTAATTTCTGGCTACATAACTAACTATTCAATTAACTTTGGCATGACAGATTGATACAGATCCAATGTTATTAAAGGTAACTGTTATGGATACTTGTTTTCTTCCTCTTGCTACTCAGTTTCTACATCTTCCTGTGCTTCTTATGTTTTATAGAGTCTCAGCTTTGTAAGCTTTGTGAGAAAAGGCTTATCTCTCACTGCAGAAGCTGCAAAGTCTCAAATCTTGCTTTCTCCACCTCCTTGCCTGGTAGTGTGGGCACCTCACCTCAGCTCCGACAATCGTAGTTGAAAGTCAGGACTCTGAAGCTGAAACAAGTAATGCACAGCTGCAGGGGTGGTGGAGAACTCACTGTAGTCATGGCTGCTGCTGTGTTAAGCACCTGACCTCCAGGGCGGTAGGAAGGGCTGCTTCCTCCACGGCCCAGTGTGGGTGGAGAGTGGTCGTCTGGTCAGATGCTCCTCTGATGTGGTCCTGGCTGTTCATCTTTGTCATTTTATGAGCCTGGTTTCCCAAATGTCCTGGCACCTGTGCAACCTATTTAGGGAGCTCTTCAGGGTCCTCAGACAGAGCTTGTTCTGTTGCATTCAACCAAAAACACTACTGATAAAATTAATTTAAACTTTGAAAACCAGAGCATGCCTTTGAGTATGTGTTAAAGACTGTTGCTAACCATAACCTTTTTTCTTCTATGAATCAATAACATCAGGAAGGTAGTTTTATAAAAAGACCTAGTACTTTTGAAAGTCTGTATCTGCATTTGCCAGTTCTGGGTGGATACATTCTGAAATCACGCTGTCTTGATAATATTTTAGTGACTCTTTTTTTTTTCTGCCTTTTTTTAGGGTAGCTTGAACAAAGAAGATGATATCTCTGTTCAGCAAATGGCCACTTGGAATTTCCTCATTGCTGATCCTCTTAATCGGGTCAACCCCTTCCTGGTGTCAGAGTAGTGAAGCTATGTCTCCAAAAGCTAGTAATGCGACACCCTTTCCTTGGAATGAAATGAGACTTCCTGAGCACATCATCCCAGTTCATTATGATCTCATGATCCACGCAAATCTCTCCACTCTGACTTTCGAGGGGACCACGGCCATAGACATCACAGCCAGCCGGCCCACCACTGCCATCATCCTGCATAGTAACCGCCTGCAGATATCTAAGGCCACCCTCAGGAAGGGAGCTGGAGCGAGGCAGTCCGAAGAGCCGCTGAGCATCCTGGAGCACCTGCCTCATGAGCAAATCGCACTTGTGGCTCCCGCGCCGCTGACTGCTGGGCTCCCGTACACAGTTGTCATTGATTATGCCGGCAATCTCTCTGAGAGCTTCCATGGGTTTTATAAAAGCACCTACAGAACCAAGGAAGGGGAAGTGAGGTATTTTCTGATATATATATTTTTAAGCTTCAAGTGCTGCCCACATTAAATGTATTATTTCAAATAGATTGTCTTTTAAAATTCCCTTGAATGTTGAATTCTTTCTTTGGTTTGGCTTTTGCATCCTCTTGGTAGAGTTAAAAATGACAATAGTTTGTTTTCTTTGTTTTTTGGATCTCAATTTTCATTCTGTTTTAACCCGTTTTCTTGCTTTCAGCTCTGTCAGCGTACATACCTATTTGTTTATTTAATTCGATTTCTTGGACGTTACAAACATCTTTCATTTTCTTGGCCTATGTGTTAGTTTTCTAGGGCTACCATAACAAAGTCCCATATATTGGGTGGCTTACAACAACAGAAGTTCGTTCTCTCGCAGTTTGGAGGCTGGGAGTCCAAAGTCGGGGCATCAGTGGGCCTGTGCCCCCAGCCCCTGAGGGGAGCTCTTCCTCGCCTCTTCCTCGCCTCTTCCTCGCTTGTGGCGGCCCTTGAGCCTCTGTGTTCCTTGCATTGTAGCTACACTGGGCTGGCCTCTGCCTCTGTCCTCACACGGACATTCTCCAATTTTCTCTCTTCTTATAAGGACCCCAGTCATATAGGGTTAGGACCAGACCTGATGGCCTCCTATTAACAGGAGTACATCTGCAAAGACCCCATTTAAAAAAAAAGTCACATTCACAGATACTAGGAATAAAGACTTCAATGTATCTTTTTAGAGGACACAATTCAACCCACAACAGTCTATTAGAGGGAATGCTTTCAGTTCAAACTTCATAGGGATCCTCAGCTGCCTTGCTTTAGTTCTGTTTTTAAGGAGGTAATTTATTTTGGGAGATTTTATACTAAATTTTAAAATGAAGTTTTACTTGTCAATAAGTTATTGACAAGTAAAAATTTTTCTGATTTCATATATATGTGTATATATATCCATATACATATATGTGTGTGTGTGTGTGTGTGTGTGTGTGTACACATAGATAGAGAGAAAAAATCAGATGCTACCATAAAGAATTTTTAAGAAATTAAAATTTATCCCAATCATAGCTCCTGGAGATAACCACTACTTCTATTTTAGAGGAACATCCTTCTAAACTTCTCTCTGATTATGCATACACATTATTTTATGTAACTGGACCAACATTATATTTTCTGTTTTAGAAGAGAGTTTTTAAAGTGTGTTGAGATATTTTATATGGATGACTTATCACTATGCATCATTGTAATGCCTGTTAGAATGTGTGTTTGTGCACTGATTTATTTAACGACTCCTTTATTGATGGAGATTACATTGTTTCCAACTTTACAGCATCAGCAACACTTGGATGAACAACCTTTGTAAATTATGTCTTTGGAATAAAAACCTAGAATTAAAATTGCTAAGTCAACAGGTTTACAGATGTTTGATTCCCTTGCCATACTCTTCACCTCTAACCAATCCTGTGTATCAGAAATCTCTTTAGAGCACAGGTGGCACACACAAGGCCCTCGGGCCAAATCCGGCCCTCCCCCTTGTTTTATCTGGCCTGGTACCTTGTCTCTACCTGGTGGCAGTGTTGAGCTCTGGCTTCACGGTGAAGGAGTAGTTACATGTATACAGTCCTAAAATGATTTCGGCCCTTTGAAGGCAACCACGAGGCTGATGTGGCCCCCGCTGAAAATGAGTTTGACACCCCTGCTATAGAGCCGAAAACTCAACAGATATCTCCATTTGATTTAAATTACATTGATCATTGATGACGTTGAGCAACTTTTTAATATATTTACTATTTGTAGGTTCTTCTTTTGTGCATTGCCTATTTATTACCTGTGTCTTCTGGTGACTCGATTGCTGGGCATATTCTTACTCACGTCAAGAGCTCATTATCTCTGAAGGCTATTAACTCTTGTCAAATACCTTTCAATCAATTTTCCCAAGTTTTCCTTGTCTTTTCACTTAGTTTGTGATAGCTTTGGTAAAAGAATTTTTTGTTAGTAAAAGCCATCAATCTTATGGTAATATTAGACAGTAAAACACACACGTGCGCGCGCGCACACACACATACACCTGTTAGCGTCCCTGTGCCTCATGCTGTGTCCTTTTTCTCACTCGCCGTAATAACATTAGGGTGCTGGCATCCACGCAGTTTGAACCCACTGCAGCCCGAATGGCCTTCCCCTGCTTTGATGAGCCTGCCTTCAAAGCGAGTTTTTCGATCAAGATCAGAAGGGAACCAAAGCATCTCGCCATCTCCAATATGCCCTTGGTGAGTCCGAACCCCTCTATGTCCCCATACGGGTGGGAGAATCCACTGACTCACTGTGACACGCATCACTCCAGTGACAGTCCTTACCTAGGTCGCCTGTTTGTGTGTTTTATTGCCTAACAGATAGCTAACTTTTTTTTTTCATTTCCAGACTATGCTTTTGTTTCAAGCAACAGTTTATCTGTAGTTCTAAAAAAAATGGAAGTTTTGCTCCCCCAAACATGGAAGATTTTGGTTAGAGTGCCTTTCTAGGTCATGGGTGTCAATGGAGGGCATCAGCACTGATGCATTCCGGTCCTTCACAAAGCACTTCCACCTTTATTGTTTCCTACGGTCTTTTAAAAGGATTGTAAAGAGAACGCTTTGTTGATTAAAGCCATATTTCTAGTGTACAGTTATTTTCTATAATATGTATATGCTATCTACTAATATTACCCATACAGTTTGTAACCATATGCATGAGAGTGGGCAGACAGAAAAAGGAAAAAAATAATCTTTTCGGAACATTTTAATACTAACGGTAAGTAATGATAGGTAGCTCTGTTTCCTTTAAAGAAACCATTACCCTTCAATTTCAAAGCAGATGTGACAGTGTTTCCTCTTATTTTTTCAAAGTGGCGAGAAGATGACTGTGCCAAATGAGTAAAACAACTCCCTCAGTGCCATTATCCTACGATTCTGGCAGTTTAGGAAAAGCATCCGCTGAGCTGTCATTCTGTAGCAGAGGCAGACCAGCCCCCGAAGCGCCTGTGTCCTTTGTTCCAAGAGGCTCACTGTGGAGGAGCCTCGGGGTGGACCAGGCTTTGTCTGGAGTCCTGAAGGATGGCCTGCCTGGTCCCTGTGCATGAAGGGACCCAGAGTGCCACAGACCAACCTCTAGTACAGTACTCCTCAACCTTTAACCCTTCACATCCTCCTAAATACCGTAAGGATCCCTTCCTCAAACGAGACTCTGACAGGCCCCCTTAGAGGGCCTTCCTCTATGAAAAGCATTCTTCTGAAAATCCCGGCCAGCCAAGAACTTGTGTCTTCCCCGCCCCACATTCATATATGAAAGATAAGGAAAAAATTGTCACTTTTCTAATATGGATTTGAGATAGAGGACATGTTTTTTTTTAAATTATAGTTCCCTCCCCCAATATCACGGTATCGCTCCCAAGATAGTGGTGAGTTCTCTAGAGAATAACAGCTTTAGGAAAATAAAGGACCAGGGAGAGAGAGACAAGGCTGGTGGAGAGATTCATAGGCTTGCCAAGGAAAAGCTGGGAGCCCCTGAGGCTTTGCAAAGATGCAAAATGGAGCGTAAATCCAAGGATTCCCAGGACTTACTTGCTGAGGGTAGGAAACTCCCCAATGTAGTCTCGTCCCTTGGACAGGAAAGCCCTCCCCTGGGCAGAATCGGAGCGGCCTGAGTCAGGTGGCGACGTGGGGTGGTGGGGAACGCCAGTGAAGTCTCAAAGGGTCTTGTTGGAGGCTAGAAAAGCAAATAGTTAATCACATTTTAAATTGGAATTAGTTTACTTAGCTTACTTTTCTCATAATTATCGCAGCATCAGGAAAGAAAATGTTGATTAGAGGTTGGTAAAGGCATTTTAAAAAGAAAAGATAATTTTGTTCTTCAAGTGTAAACTGGGGTTGGCTATAAGAGTCAGGGCTTGGATGACCAGAGAGTGACCAGCTTGTGGGTATTAAGAAGACGGGCCAGGATGCAGAAATAGGGGTGGAGGGAAGCTTATTGGCCGAGGTATGAGACTTTCTCTGTTGGGAGCAGATGCCTTAGACTGTACCTCTATCCCTCCCACCCCACTCTGCAAGGCTGCTTTTTGATTGCATTTAAAGGCTGATTCCAGTGAAGCCAATCAGAGTGTGGAGGTTTGCAGGGTCAGGGTCAGGCCCAGGCGTGGTTGCTTGTTGGGGAAAGAAGAAGCAATGTTAAAGGGACTTACATAAGAAAAAGAAGTTAAAAAAAACATGAACAGTGAAAGAACAACAAGCTCACAGTTATGAACAACCACACCTAAAACAAAGGCAAACTAAAAGGACAGCTAGATCAGGAGTGGAAACATAGAAATGAAGATCTCAAGGAGGGTTAGCAACAGGGGAGTGGGAGGAGGAGAAGGGGGGAGAAGGTACAGAAAATGAGTAGCATAGACAGTAGATAGAAAATAGATGGGGGGGGCAAGAATAGCATGGGAAATATAGAATCTAAAGAACTTGAGACACATGGTCATAAACTAAAGGGGGGGTAATGGTGGGGATGGGGGGTAGGGTGGAGGGGAATGAAGAGGGGAATAGAACAACTGTAATGCCATAATCAATAAAAAAATAAATTAAAAAAAAGGAAAGGAGAAACAGAAAAAAAAAGAAGAAGCTCTTCTAAGGCTGTGTATGGTTGTAGCAGACGCAGTCCAGCAGAGTCCGCCTGTTGTGGCTGATGACCAGAATCAATGCACAGGCGACAACAACCCTGTGTGGAAAAAGGGGACAGGCACAACTACTCCCTCAAGGGGAGGGTGCTTATGGTGCCTCGGCCACTCCCTCAAGAGGGGAGCACCCCGACCCTTGCCTAGACAGGCTTTTATTGTTTTCCTGGGGTCTTACATTGAGAAAGATTTATTATCTATCACATAGAATATTATTGTCTATATTTTAGGTACAATCAAGGAAATAAAAATAACATGCAGAGGGGGATGGTGATGAGCTCATTAGCTCTGTCCTTGGGGGAGCTCACACAGGCTTTGGATATTATCTTGAGGATAAACAATACGCATTTGTTGCTTTAGACCGGGGTGAAGGAGTTTTAGCAAGAGCAAGCCGTAACAATCTATATGCATTTTCTAGGCCTGATTTCCACAGGAAAACTCGGTTTGAAGGTCTGGCTCCTGCCCACCACTTCGCATCTGTAGGTTTTCCATACGGAGCTGAGTCACGTTTGCCAGACAAAAACAAACCGGTCCCCTACATATGGTTGTGCACTTGCCCAGTGTAGAAAATAAATTAGACGTTGCACTCCCAGGTAATTTTCATACCTGTGTTTAAGGACACAGAGACTGTATCTTGGCAAAACCAGTAATCTCAGTTTTGTTTTGTCTCACCCTTATTATTAGTGCTCATGTGCCAAACATAAGTCAGTTTGCAGTCATCTGGATTATTTATAAGAAAATAAGTAGGGATGGTTACACAACTGCGTGAATATAGTTTTAAAAAAACCACTGAATTTTACACTTTAAAATTGTGAATTTTATGGTATGTGAATTATATCTCAATAAAAAATGTATTTGAATGGAATGATTTGGCCTCAACATCCAAACTACAATCAGATATTGGAAAGAAAAATTTTAAATAATTATTAAAATGTCATGCCATATACTTTCAATAACATGTCTGGTAGGAAATTTCTCTGTATGGAATATATTCATCACACTGGATTATTTGATGACGTGAGTTATTCTGATTTTAGGTTAAATCTGTGACTATTGCCGAAGGACTCATAGAAGACCATTTTGATGTCACTGTCAAGATGAGCACCTACCTGGTGGCCTTCATTATTTCAGATTTTAAGTCTGTCAGCAAGATGACCAAGAGCGGAGTCAAGGTGAACCTGTGATTGTCACACAGGGTGACCAGCGCGTCCTGGTTTGCCTGGGACTGTCCTGGTTTTAAAATTGGAAGTCCATGTGCTGGGAACCCCCTCGGTCTTGGGCACATTAGGGCTGGTGACCCTACTGTCACAGAAGCTCGTGTTTACAGTGAGGTTCTAGTAACAAAAGCATGCGGGGAAGCCTGGCCTGGCCCGTGTCGTAGTTCTGGCTCCACCACTAACTGCCTGTCCGACTGTGGCCCTGCTCCCTCCTTTTTGAACTTGTTTTTATACTTTTTTTAAATGTGTAAGTTGGACATGATCCTGCAATGATTTCTAAGGTTGCCTCTGGCTATAACTCTACACTCTAGAAATGAATGCCACTGGCTGTCTGAGCAGGGGACTTCTGGCCCTGGGAAGGAAGTCCCTTCCGCTTGGAGCATTAAATGGCTCTCAGAGCCTCTGGGCCAGGGAGTGCTGGAACTCGGGAGGAAGAAGTCTTGTTCTGAGGAGCACTCGTTCCCTGTCTGGGTGCCTTGTGTAGCAAACAACCTATACAACTCTCTGCTGTGGCTCTGAATGCAAGGAGCTGCAGGACACTCTTTTTTTTTGAGATACCTCACTTATTTGTACTGGATTTCCCTGAGGCCTGAATAGTTAGGGTTTCCCGGCTAAATTGCCTTTTGTTCCCATAGGGCTGAAGCTTCTTACCCTTGGGGCAGTATCTCTACTTACCTGGGAATTTGAAGGTGATGCTTGAAACTTGAATGTAGGGGGCAATCTAAATTCAGCAGTGAAACTGTCAACAAAAACACCCGCTCACTGATTGCCCTCCCAATCCTTTATGAGTGAGCCTTTTTATAATGTCTCTCTCATACTGATTTTGTGATTTATAATTAGAAATTCATATTTGGTCTTCCTCCCGATTCTGACACAGAGCTCCTAAAACCCTTCAAGTTTCTTAAATGTAGGGAGTGATAAAGGTGTCTCTTGTCTCATTAATGAGGTGATCTTTGGAAAAGCCTCTAGGAACCTACGGATGAGTTAGGGGTGCTGGTTGCAAGGAATCAACCAAATAATTGGAGGGTTAGACCTTGTAAAACCTCTCCTGACCTCAGCTGGATATTGAGCCCCATCACCAATAGTCAATGACTTAATCAACCATGCTTGTGTCTGCGCCTCCATAAAAACCCAAAGGGGGGTCAGAGAGCCTCCAGGGTGGTGGCTGTATGGAGGTGCAGGGGGTGGGCATAGTGTGCCTGGAGAGGGAGCTGAAGCACTGAAGCTCTGCACCCTTTCCTCATATCTCGTCCTGTGTATCTCTTCCATGTGACTGTTCTTGAGCTATTTCCTTTCACAGTGAACCGGTAATTTAGTAAGTAAACTTTGGACTATGAACTGCGCTCTAGCAAATCAATCAAACCCAAGGAGGGGGTGTTGAAACCTTCAATTTATATCCACTTGTTCAGAAGCACAGGTGAAAACCTGGACTTGTGACTGGCATTTGAAGTGGAGGGGAGGGGACAGTCTTGTGGGACCAAACCCTTGCCCAGTGGAATTTGATGCTATCTCCAGTCAGACGGTGTCAGAATTGAGTTAACCTGTAGGACACCCGCTGGTGTTGGAGAATTGCTTGGTGATGTGGGGGGAACCAGCCCCCACACATACCCACTTAGGAACTGGGTGCCGAAACCCATTTCACATGCTAATGTTTTTAGTCCTTATATTTCTTTAAATTTATTAAACATTTTATATTCTGTGTCTAGTAATTGCCATGGCTAAAGTCTTTGTGTATCTGGTCCTGTGGTTTATGGTTTCCGCTGGCTGTTGCTCACAGTGTCTTGTTCCTTTGTATATGTTGTGAATTATGCCTGTGAACTTGTATTACCTGTGTTGAAGGCGGATTATTCCAGAGAGAATTTGCCTTGACTGGAAGCACTTAGCAGCCTGGCACCATTGAACTCAAATTACTGGCTTTGGGTTTTTGAACCACCTGGTTTTCCTGAATCCAACTGCATGGTTAGCATTTAGTTACAAATTCTCTGAGAGGGTCTTTCATTCTTCCCCATATTGCACCAGCATTTGAAAAAGACATTCTTCAGTGCAGTCTTCTTGAGGAAGGGGTGGTTATTTCTAGTTCACCATTACATCAGAGTGCGGTCCTTCTGGGCTCAGCCTTTGCCAAGGTGCATATCCTAGTTCACTGCACATCTTAAGCAGTCTCTGGGTTTTGCCTCCTCCCCTCGGAGTCTTTCAAAGGCATGAAAACCGAAGCCCAAGTCTACCTGTTTGGGGCTAGTGTCCTCAGGGCAAGAGCTGGCTGCATTGTTTTGCTGACTTCTGAGGGTCCTGCTGTCACTACATTTCTGACCTCCAAGTTGTCTTTATCACTATCCCATGAAAACATTTAAAGAGACATCTTTGTATGTGTTATCCAGCATTTGTAGTTGTCTCAGAGGGGAGCTAATCAGGGAGAGTCAACATTAATACAAGAAATAGAACTTCCAGTGGCCTTCTTTGATATCGGCAGCCAGGTTCTGCAATATGAAGCTATTAATGTCAGTCTTCTTTGCAGTTGTGGAGAAAAACCTCGATGGCGTTCGACTGACCTTTTTATTATGCCTTTCTCTTCAGGTTTCCGTGTATGCTGTGCCCGACAAGATCAACCAGGCAGATTACGCGCTGGATGCTGCGGTGACTCTTCTAGAATTTTATGAAGATTATTTTAGCATTCCGTACCCCTTACCCAAACAAGGTAGAGGTTTTACACAGATATTACAAATGTGGATTAGATGATCCCAGCCACAGATTATACCCTGCTAATTAGCATCCCTGCTAATTAGTTATCTCACGAGCCCCTCAAGTCATTAAAATCCTATGTTAGTAGGCAGACAGCCAAGGACAAACACTGCATTTTACATTGTTGGCACATACTTGGTAGGAACATAGAAGATGCTTCACATAAATTTTTTGAATAAATACATTTATACAGCAAAAGAAAATCTGCATTTTCTCATAAGACCCTTTATAAGTATTTTGTGTTTGAGGTTTTAAGTGTATGGGGATCTTGAGTATTCAAAGTAGAGTGGATTTTTAAGGAAATTGTTATAATTTTTCAATCCTAAACTACTCATCAGATATTGGAAATGGAGTCAGGATGCCTGTGACCCAAGTTTGACCTGAATGAGTCACCAAGTGCCTTTTCTCCACTGTGCAAGGTTCTTCCAGCCTAGAGTTTATGATCCTGCATGGGCAGCTTAGATTTAATTACTGCATTTATCCATTCTGAAAGTTGGTGTATTTGAGTGATGCATAGCTTACAGATTGGTTAATATATATTTCTCCTCCCCTGCCCCCCCAAGATCTTGCTGCTGTTCCTGACTTTCAGTCTGGTGCTATGGAAAACTGGGGACTGACGACGTATAGGGAGTCCGCTCTGTTGTTTGATGCTGAAAGGTCTTCCGCATCCAGTAAGCTCGGCATCACCATGACTGTGTCCCATGAACTCGCCCACCAGGTATAAAAAGCTCAATCGCACTTCTTAAAAAGTGAAGTTAAACTGTGTCTGTGTTACTTTTATGGGACATTGGAGGCTATTCAAATTTCTACTTTGTCTTTTTTTTAATAGGAGAAATGATTTCTTTAAAGCATTAGCTGCCATGTTTTAAAATGCATATTTAAAGGGTTTTCTTTTTATTTTGATAAAGTATTAGTTATATAATATTAACACCCATCTAACTGACATTACACATACAAAATACATTTCCTTTTTAAGGTCTTATGTTCATGGCTGTGTAGATAATCCAGTCTCCATAGAAATGTGTGAATAATCTGAGTGATGTTTTCCTTTCAGTGGTTTGGGAACCTGGTCACTATGGAATGGTGGAATGACCTTTGGCTCAATGAGGGATTTGCCAAGTTCATGGAGTTTGTGTCTGTCCGTGTGACTCATCCAGAACTGAGAGTTGTAAGAAGTATTTACTTATTTGTTACATTTTTAGGTTAATTTGTTTCTTTGTTCTATATTTCTGGGAAATAGTTTTGATTAGAGAATTCATAGATTAATAACTTCTTTGGGAGTTTAGATATAAATCATGTTCCCCAAATGCTAGTGAACTTTACATATACATATATATATATCTATCACAAAGGCTTATTTCCAAGCTAAATTATGAGTCTATGATTGTATGTAAAATTGTATTAAATGTTGCCCTCCTTGGATAGAAATAACGACAGCCTGTGTGTTCTGTATGATTTCTGTAACGGTCAGAGTGCTCATGGAAGAAGTATTAGGTACCGTTTGCTATTCTTTCAGTAGAATTCTACTTGCCAAATCAAATAAATGATTCTTAAGGCAACTGCACATTTGACTGTGCATGAACCTAGACTCATGGAACCTCCGCATGTTTATTTTAAAAGTTGTATGTTTAACTTGTGACAATCACATGCAGTAAAATTTAAAAGAAACTAAACTTTATATAAAAAAATCCTTTACCCTTCTATAATAATTTGTTCATATTTATTTTCTACTTTCATCTTCCTGTACACATAATTTGTACATAGTTATGATTATAATGTATATATAATTATTACACTATAATAGATCATAAGCATTTTTCTATGTTTCCACATAATTTTTAAAATGATTATGTTAAGTGTATTATTCTATTGGTTAATAGGCCTTAACAAATCAGGTTATAGTTGGAATTTGTCCTCCATTATTTTTTCTTTCACTACATGGTTTTAAAGCTAAATTTCTTTGCTGTAAAATACTATAGATGGTGATTGGAAATGTTGAAATCACTCTACATTTTAGTTTCTTGTTTGGTTGCTGTTTGGCTATAGGCATAGTGGTTCTGTTTTTAAGTTAGTATGAGTTTTTTAATCCTAAAGTGATAAGTAAATATTTAAGGTGAGGGAAATCTAAAATGTTTACCAAAAATTATTTTTCTTGGATATTCTTTAAAATACTTTTATTTTGTAAATTCTATAAGTATGCAATATATTGGACCAGAAATTAGAAATATAAATCTGCTATCCCAGATCAAGGATTTCTTCTGTCGTATTTTCATCTACATGTAAATCATAAATGATGTTGTCTTTTTTCTGCCTCAATAGGAAGATTATTTCTTTGGCAAGTGTTTTGATGCAATGGAGGTAGATGCCTTAAATTCCTCACATCCTGTGTCTACCCCAGTGGAGAATCCCGCTCAGATTCGGGAGATGTTTGATGAAGTTTCTTATGAAAAGGTAAAGATGGATAATAAGAGTGCAGTTGGGACACTGAAACTTACAAATACTGGGTGGAGAGATTTTAGATAAGGTTATGGGGTAACTCACCCTTCAAAAGGAGCAACCCAGACTGAATGCCCTGTATGCTGACCTGTGCTGGCAGGAGTTCACTCGTTTAGGTCTGAATTGCAATTTGTCTAGTAATCCTGAAGATTACATTTGGGCGAATCCTTCATTCACTCTGTTGAGTTTCAGTAGGCCATGAATTTTCAACTTACACAATTAGGTCTCGATTGAGCATTGACTTGGTATCAGGCAAATGTTCCTGCCCTTGTGTGGCTTAATGTTCAGTGCCTTTAGGAATGGTTTGCATTGTTGAACTGCAAAGCAGTGCCCTGCACAATGTGATGAATAACAGAGTTGGAAATTGTTGCAAACGTTTAATAATTGGGAAATTTTACATAAAAATCCAGACTTCTTGCTTCCCTCCGGGGACAGAGAAGAGGATTCTGGTCACAGTGGGCCTGTATTTCCTTTGGCAACATAGGCTGGAGCTAAATGACGGCTCCTTTATGAAACCAAGTTTCTGCTTTTCTACTTCCCCTTCTAATGCCCACTATTTCTATTGTCTTCTCACTGAGGCAGAGAATGTGCCATTTATCATTATGTTTGCCTGTTTTGTTTGCAGCAAACAGAAAAGTATTTCTTACTTGGATGTTTTTGTAATAGTGCAGGGGAGATAAAAATAGATATAAACAAACACATAAAACAATGGAGCAGAGTTTAGAGTCAAGAAATAAATGCATATGCATATGGTCAACTCATGACCAAGTAGCCAAGGATATAGAATTGGGTAAAGACAGTCTCTTCAACAGATGGTGCTGGGAAACCTGGACCCCTCTCTGATGCCATTCACAGAACTGAACTTAAATTGGATTAAAGACTTAAACTTAAGACCAAAATTATAAAAATCCATAGGGAAAACATAAGAGAAAAGATGCTTAACATGGGTCTTGGCAATGGTTTTTCTGTATATGAATACAAAGGTACAAGCCACAAAAGCAAAAACAAACAAGTGGGACTACAATAAACTAAAAACTTCTACGTGGCAAAATAAACAAAATGAAAAGACCAGATATGAAATGGGAAAAAATATTTACAAACCATGTATCTAATGAGGGGTTAATATATAAAATATTTAAAAGGACTATACAAAAGGACTCATACAATTCAATAACAAAATCAGTCTGATTAAAAATGGACAGAAGACCCGAGTAGAAGTTTTACAAAGTAGAAATTTTACAAAGAAGACATACAAATGGACAAAATATACGTGGAAAGGTGTTCAGCATCATGAATCTTTGGGGAAATGCAGATCAAAAACCAAAGTGAGATGCCACCTCACACCTGATAGGAGGGCAACTATGAAAAAGACAAGTACCATGTCAGTGCGGGTGTGGAGAAAAGGGCTCCCAGCCCTGTTGATGGGAATGTGTATGGGTGCAGCCACTATGGAAAGCCTTATAGGGGTTCCTCAAAAAATTAAAAATAGAACTACTGTATGATCCAGTGATTTCACTTCTGTTCATTCCCCAAAGAAAATGAAAATACTAACCTAAAAATACGTGCACTCCATGTTCATCGCAGCATTATTTACAACATCCGAGATTGGAAATGAACTAAATGTTTACTGATGGGTGACTAGATAAAGGGTGTGTGGCATATATGTATATATATACACATTATGTATATAATGTGTATGAATATTATTCAGCCATAGAAGAGAAAATCTTGCCATTTATAACAACATGGGTGGATCTTGGGGGTTTTATGCTAAGTGAAATAAGTGAGAGAAAGACAAATACTGTATGATTTCGCTTATATGTGGAATCTTAAAAAAAAATACAGAAACAAAAAACCAGGCTCATAGAGAACAGATTGGTGGTTGGTGGTTGCCTGAGACAGGGAATGGGATGTGGACAAAATGGATAAAGGTGGTCAAAAGGTACAAACTTTTAAGTATAAAATGTCATGGGTTATAATGTACAACATGGTGACTATAGTTAATAATGTACTGTATATTTCAAAGTTGCTAAGAGTAGATCTTAAAAGTCTCCATCATAAGAAAAAAATTTTGTAGCTGTATATGGTGATGAATGTAGAGTTAGATTTACTATAATTTGCAATATATACAAATACTGTCATGTCATACACCTGAAACTAATATAATGCCATGTCATTTATAGCTCAATAAGATAGAGGGCCAGTCCTGTTGGCAGGGATACGCAGTTCATGTAGGCATCCAGGGACCCAGGCTTTGCCAGTTTTGTGACCCCACCACCTCTCAGAGTAGCAATTTCCAACCAGTGTGCCACAGGGATTTTTAAAACATGAAATACTTGACTGTTTAGTCAGGGACGTTGACTTCTTTTCCTTTAAATTTTAAATTAAAAAATAACAGCCAACCCAACAATAGCCATCCTGTGAGAATGAATCAAAACTATACCTATTTTTTTCAAATCAGCAAAAAATATATTTTTGGTGTGCCACAGAATTTTAGTGATTAGTTTGTGTGCCATGAGATAAGAAACATTGAAAATGACTGCTCTACAGCTGAGAGAAAGACTACCTCCACCTTGAAGAGAACTAAGAAATTCTTCCAGAAAAGGAGACTTTTACATGAATTATTTCAAAATAAAATGTGGTGGTGGATTAGATTAAAGCCAACGTATAGCTAACACTTATTTATATCGTCTTTCAGGGAGCTTGTATTCTGAATATGCTAAGGGATTATCTTGGTGCCGATACATTTAAAAGTGGTATCGTGCATTACCTCCAGAAGTACAGCTATGAAAACACGAAAAACGAGGACCTGTGGAACAGCATGGCAAGTGTAAGTACATGTTTATGTATCTCTACATTCGGGATTGTCAGGCGTATTATTTTTTCTCATCTTAATCACTCGGAGAAGAATCGTGAAGTGTTTTCTACAGCACTGATGATGATGTGTGTATTTTTGGTTTTTAGATTTGCCCTTCAGATACAGAAATGGTGGATGGCTTTTGCTCTAGGGCTCAACACTCATCTTCGTCCTCAGTAAGTTTTTAGCTCTGTCCACGTTGCCTGTCTGCACATCATTTACACCACAGCCTCTGAAGGTTGGCAGTGTGCTGAACTGTGAGGCCCTTGATGATATCACCCTCACTCTTGATAAGACTGCATTTAAACTATAGCAGACTGACCTCTTTTACAATTAAAAAAAAAAGTTGGTATTTTTAGAGAGAAAAGGAGGGAGAGAGAGAGAAAGTGAAAGGGAGAGAAATATTGATTTGTTGTTCCAGTTATTTATGCATTCATTGATTGCTTCTTGTATGTGCCCTGACCAGGAGTTGAACCCACAATCTTGGCATATCAGGAAAACACTCTGACCAACTGAGCTACTGGGCCAGGGCAGCTTCTATAATTTTTAAAAAATTATCTACAGAAGGCAGTTGCACAACCTTCTTCAGGAACACGTCTCACTGATACTAATTTCCTCAGCTTCACTGTAATGCAGTGAACTTATGATGGGTTTCTGTGGGAGATTAGGGCTGTATCAGTCAGTCACTGTCAGTCATTTCCATGGCGCTCCATTTGTAAGGAAACAAATAAGGCAGCGAGTATTCTTGAGCACTTAGTACACGCCAGCCGCGTATTAAGCACTTATGTGCATTATTGCCTTTACTCCTCACAGTAAGCCTATGAGTTGGCGGCTTTTATCCCTATTTTTAGAGATAGGACTATACAATCCAAAGGCACGTAGGTTAGTAAATTGCAGAGCTGAGATCTGAATTTAGGTCTAAGTTGTGTTTTTAACTGAAAAACTATACGGAACTCCCAACACCCGAATCACAGAACAGGCCACGTCCCTGTTATCTGGACTCGTAGCACATTTTCACAGGCAGCTGCGGATTAGTCTGGAGATTTAACAGAATTTTATCCACTGTGTTTTTGTTTTCTTGGCTTTTTTTGTTTTTAGAGATGGCTTTTATTCAGTAGTTTGTAGATTAGTTCTATAGTATATTTTATCCTTTCGCCAGTTTTTAAATATTTCTTAAAAGTTTTTATTTTTAGTATCAGAGAATATATCCTGTCTTGAGTTCATGATTGCTTGTCCACTGTGGCCCCTCGGGTGTTGCCCCTTTGGAAGTGCAGGCTCCTGACCGAACACGTCTCCCCACCTTGCTTGTCTGACAGGCAGCATCACTATAAGTAGGTGCTGAACACCTGGCCACTTTCCCTTCTCTACGTTCATTCATACGTCTGTATTGTGCTCAGTGCCAAGCTCAGAGAACCCAGTAGAACCGGGCCTGGTACCTGTTCTCAAGACACACATGTGTAGAGGAAGACAATGAAAAGTAAACAGTCAGTGCTTTGATGACCAACACGCTGTGGTTGGCGACAGTGGGGGAGGGAGCAGAGGAGAGGCTGAGGAAGAGCTTCCCGGAGCAGGTGGTCAGCCGGCTGCAGCTCTGTGTGTGAGGGCAGGCTTGGGTTCCCTCTTGTCTTAGAGCTGGGTCGTGCATCTGCCGTGTTCTGTATCACCCAGCACTGGAAACAGGAAGGCCTCGATGTGAAAGCCATGATGAACACCTGGACGCTGCAGCAGGGCTTCCCCCTGGTAACCATCACCGTGAGAGGGAGGAAGGTGCACATGAAGCAAGAACGCTACCTGAAAGGACAGGCCGTCGATGCAGAACCTGGGTAGGGTTCGCTGGGAACAACTCATTTCTCTTCATCCTTACTTGTAAGACAGAACCTTCTTCTTGAAATAGTGCCCTTACCTTTATTGCGAAAACATTTCAATCAAATTGACGTATCCTATGAAGTTGAGTTTTGTACCACTATCTCCCAGAGGATGAAGGTGGCTCCGAACCTTGGTTCACCTCAGTGAAGTCAATGCATAATTATTCTAACATTCTCATGTTTTGTAGTTTGATGGGATGGTGATTGCTCGTTACTGGCTTGAAATAAGCTCCAATCTCAGTAATCAGCACTAAATTACAGTAGTGTCTGGAAATTATGGTTTCTGGGGATTATGAAAGACTCAATTCTTTTCTTTTGAGTCTGAGTTAGATACTGGAACTTGTCAGTTTAACGCCATAGAAAGACATCACCAGAAATGACACAGTGCACCTCGATTGACCCTAGATGGACATTATTTTTTTATTTTATTTCAAAAGTTTAGACTTGATGAAGAAGTTCCAAGAAGGATGCAAAGAATCCCATATACTTTTTACTCAGATATTTATTAACTGTTTACCACATTTGCTGTATTTCTCTCTGCATATATCTCTACATATGTGCTGTGTGTATATATATATATATATATATATATATATGTATTTAACTATTTGAGAATAATTTGGAGACATGATCCTCTTTTACCTGAAAGTACTTTAGTGTAGTATTTTCTTAGAAAAAAAAGACATTTACTTATATAACCACACCACAATTATCAAAATTATGAAATAAACTTGATACGATGCTATTATCTAATCTACAAACTTTGTTCAGATTTTTCCAATTGTTCTAATAATGTCTTTGTCACAAAAAGAAGAAGTTCTGGCTCAGGTAGCATTCAATATCAGGATCACATTGTATTAATTGTTCCATTTCCTTAGTCCTTTTTCTCTGAAACTGTTCCTCAGGCCTAGTGCTTCTTGACCATGACATTTTTGAAGATTATGGGCCATTTATTTTGTGGGATGTCCTCCAGTTTGGGTTTTCTACTGTTTCTTGATGATCAGATTCAAGTCATGCGTCATTAGCAGAAATTTGGTAGAAGTGGTATGTACAAGATGCGGGAGGTACCTGATGACAGTTTGTGCCATTACTAGTTGTCACAGTTTTTAACCTCCGAGCTCCCAGCCAATCACTGCAAAGGCTGACAGGGCTCACTTGAGCCCAAATTCCTAACCCTACTGAAGGAGACTAAGAAGGATGAATAGTGCCTGAAAACAGGATGGGCGTGTTTTGATCTCTTGGCTTTGGCAGCTCTGATACCATTGTTTCTTAAACTAGCCAGTGCCTGGCACATGATAGGTGATTTAATAACTGCTTGTGCACTTAATCAACAAAAGAGCGATTAATCCTTCTGTCTTTCAGGTACCTGTGGCACGTCCCACTGACGTTCATTACCAGCAAATCAGACTCAGCCCACAGATTTTTGCTGAAGACAAAAACAGGTAATTTGTTGTGGAAATAACTAGGTAAATGCAAGAAGGAACTATGGAAACAGGATTTAGATGCTACCTTTCTTTTGCTATTTAACTTGGTTAAAGCAAAAAAAAAAAAAAAAAAAAGATCAGGTCAGTCTTCAGCTATCTTCAGCTAATCTCTGGCTTTCATTTTCTAGTGAAGTCTCTAGGTTTGAAAGTACTGTCTGGTTGCAAAGAAGGCCAGTATCTTGCCAGATAGAGATTAAAATGGTTGAGTTATGTAATGGTATAAAGAAGGGATTGCTAATAAAAATTTCCCATTACTTCGTTAGCATTGCTAGGTTAACTAGCATTGCTAGGTTATATTGTATGTGTGGCCAGAAATGTGGCCACATGCTTCTCATGTGTCTATAAATCTCACAAAATTGGTGTCTAAAACTAGTGTCGGCTTTTGTCTACTGAGATGCTGTTTTCTGGTTTCTAAAAGGAACGGGTTCAATATGAATGAAGCTCACTTCAGTATTAAAACTGTTCGGTATTAAATGTGCCGTTAGTTTCATGGTCCAATCTCTGATCAGAAAAGCTTTCGTCTGTCAAGAGAGAAAATGGAGCTATGATTTATTTTCTTTGCTCTAGATGTGCTCATTCTCCCAGAAGAGGTGGAGTGGATCAAATTTAATGTGGGAATGAATGGCTATTACATTGTGCATTATGAGGATGATGGATGGGATTCTTTGACTGGCCTTTTAAAAGGAACACACACAGCAATCAGCAGTAATGATCGCGCCAGTCTCATTAACAATGCATTTCAACTTGTCAGGTAATACAAGCTTGGTTTATTTCTGAAGGCAGCTGTTATCACTCAAATTCTAGATTTCTAAAGAAGAAAATGACTGATTGCTAATAAGAAGTGGAAGGGTGTTTCCTCCTAAATTCTAAAAATCCAAGGTTGCTTTTAGCCTTATGGCTCCCCTCCTGCCTGCATTTGCTGAGTAAGGTAAAGGAAGGAATCTGTATTTTAACCTTTTTCATTAACAACTAAGATCACGTGGAGGCAAAAGTGTAGAAAATCGGGAGACCACCCTGGAGAAGCCTCTGGCCAAGTTCTGAAGTCCTGTGCTGCAGCTTTCCCTGGCCTTTCTTTAACAGATCAGGTTTCTCCCCACGCCCACCCCCCACCCCAGCTGCTGGGCCTTTAACAGTCTTGAAGCCTCCTCAGAAGAATGAGTGGATCAGTCCCAAGTCATTCACATTACACTTCCTGGGTTAAAAGAAGATTTCCCCCACCCCCGCCCCACCCCTACCCCCAGCTGGATCCCTGGACTTCACAGCACCTTTACGGAAGGCAGCTCACAAAATGCTGGCCAACCAAACGAACTTCCAGTTGTTGAGGATAGTGTGTACTCTGAATTTTCGCCCCTTGACAATGGTTTTTAAGAATATGATCCGCAAGCTGATAAATGCACTTCTTCAGTATTTAGGCAGAAGTCCTACGGCAAATCACCCAGGCAGAAAGGAATAATGGATAATTCTCCTTATACCCCATGCTCCTCCGCTCTAAATGTCAAGTTCTTCCTTTTCTGGGCCTCTTGAGGTGACAAAAAGCAATGGGGGATGAAAATGGGGGCAGCTTAGCCAGCTGTTTCGGCATGCTTAAAAATACTCCCCTCTGTAGCGTACTACTGCTTAAATCTTAGAGGGTTTTGTACTTAAATGAGTATGTATCTTACCACTGAGGCTTTTTAAAAAAAGATTTTATTTATTTATTTTTAGAGAGGAGAAGGGAGGGAGAAAGAGAGGGACAGAAACATTGATTGGTTGCCTCTTGCACGCACCTGGACTGGGGACCAAACCCAAACCCTAGGCATGTGCCCTGACTGGGAATCGAACCAGTGACCTTTTACTTCTCAGGATGATGCCCGACCAACTGAGCCAGACCAGTCAGGCACCAGTGAGGCTTTTAACACCAACCCTGTATGATGAAGGGTTTGTATCTATACTTAGTTTCTTTTTGGAATGTACAAGAGAATGTGTCCACTCCAGAGACACATACTATTAACTGAGTGGCAGTCTCTCTTACTAGGCCTCCAGAAGGATCTTTGATCCAAATCCCCGTTGTACCCTGGAAGGTCAGCACACAATCCCACGTCTCACAGAGGGACAGACACATGCTTGCATTTTGTCTTAACCACAGGTTAGGCCTAGCTCTGTTGTTATTTGGGGAACTTCCTCTACCATGTAGACATCTCAGATGTTGTGTTACGTGTGGCAGAAAAGATGCTAATATAAAGATCCTTATTTATAAGGGGCATTCATAACTGACTTTTTTCATAAGATTGTTAAAATATGTTTTGAAACAGAAGGTTGATTTCCTGGATTTTCTTTTAAACTGATAATCATGGTGTGTCTCCTGACCAGCATTGGGAAGCTACCGATTGAAAAAGCCTTGGATTTAACCCTGTACCTGAAACACGAAACTGAAATTATGCCTGTGTTTCAAGGTTTGAATGAACTGATACCTATGTATAAATTAATGGAGAAACGAGATATGAATGAAGTGGAAACTCAGTTCAAGGTAAAAACCTGAAATAAATTAAGTAGCTGCGTAAGTGGTTTGCTTTTATGTGGGTGTGGGAGAATTCTTACTGTTGTGGGTATGTCTTGGTATATATTAAAGAAAAGTAAATCAAAATGAACTCAGTATTTGAATTGACTGGCAAAGATAAAGGTTTTCTTTTAGCACTGAAAAGAGACAAGGCACTATGCTATTGTATACTTAATTTTCATGGATTCTTCTTCCCTTCTTTTTACAAATTCTTTATTTCATTTTACTTATGTATTATGATGGTTGCTAATAAGATGTTCTGGAACTCAGGTACTTGAAGATGAAGTACAAAATTGTTATTTTTGGCAAATTATAATGAAGTTACATTGTATAATTCGCTCTCAAAATGTAGTCATATACACTTTTTATTTTTAAAGTGGCAGTTTATCCTAAGGAGAAAAGGTATATTTATAAAAGATTGTCATGCAAATACTAAAATAGTTCCTTGTTTCTTATTTTTGACCCCTTTGATAATTAAATATAAACACAACTGCATGGTTTTGAAAACAAAGAGTTGCATTAAGCTTTGACAAATATCCCCTGTCACCGAGTGTGTGCCGGATTACATAAAGTGGGAGGGGGCTGGGGCAGCCCTGGTGACCCTGTGGCTTCCCCCCAGGCCTTCCTCATCAGGCTGCTGAGGGACCTCATCGACAAGCAGACTTGGACTGACGAGGGCTCTGTCTCTGAGCGAATGCTGAGAAGTCAGCTCCTCCTCCTCGCCTGTGTGCGCAAGTATCAGCCCTGTGTGCAGAAGGCCGAAGGCTATTTCGGACAGTGGAAGGAAGCCAATGGGAAGTTGAGGTCTGTCCTTGCCACACAACCAGTTCATTCATAGAAGGGGTGCCTTTTCTACTTTCCATCATCACTGGGAGCAAAACCAACTATACACAAGTCTCCCATGTCTCCCTTTTTAGGAAAATAAGTTACTTTTTAAGATTTATCTAAACTCAACTTTAAGTCATGCTAGCAGGGAACTTCTATGCACAAAACATCCAATATCTGGAGAGTGAGAATGGGATTATAATGATTCCCACTTTATGCAGCCAAGGATACAAAACCTTACCAGAGACAGCTGCACTGGCCAGGAACAGAGGCAATGCATCTCACAGTAGCTTCTGTGGGTCTCCGAAGTCCCCAGCAGGGGGCGCCCAGTAGTTGCTAAATCTTCCTATATCTGGAAATTTAATTCTTGCTATACTTATGTGTATTTGGGGCTCAAGTCCCATCTGGGAATACCAAGCCAACGGTATACATGCTTTTCGTTTAAAGAAATGCTTATAAATGGTGGGCCTATTGGATTCCTGCCGTTTATTCATAGACTCCATCTTGAGTCAAGTTTGAATCTCTTTATTGAGTCACCCAGGTCATTAAAGTGTGTTAGACTCATAGGTATTTATAAAAGTGGACTCTGCCATTACATTTTTGAGTAGGCTACTTACAACCTAATTTTAGATATTTTTCTCTGCCTCTTTCAAAAAATTTGACTTAAGAGGTTACTGTTTAGATTTCCAGGCATGCCACTCTGGTCATGAGGCCAGTTTATCAGTTCATAGTCAGTCACTGTCCTGCACCCAGACACAGCTCCTACATCTCAGACTCTCACCGGGTGTGTTCTTTCCCACAGACTGCCCAGCGACGTGACCTTGGCTGTGTTTGCTGTGGGAGCCCAGACCACGGAAGGATGGGACTTCCTTTATAGTAAATATCAGTCTTCCTTGTCCAGTACCGAGAAAGAACAAATCGAATTTGCTCTCTGTGTTAGCCAAGATAAGCGAAAGCTTCAGTGGTAAGTAATTCATTCATGATCATGTGAGCGAGGGGAATTAAATTAGATCAGGTCCTTCTGGCACCTAGTTTTGTTCTTCTGGCCAGGAACTGCCTGTTCTGGGAACACATATGATAGAGACATACATCTAATGAGTACGGTAACTAATTTTGGGGAAGCAGGTGTTAGGAAAAATATTAAAGGAGCATATGTTTGTGTATCTTTAAAATAATAAGCATAGAAATACATACTTCCTTAGACCCTCTTATGAACAGATGAGAGCGTATGTGAGAATGTGAATGGTACATAGTTCCATTACTACATACCTCTACTGCCTTTACCAGGCTGTGGTGACCTATTTATCTCTTTGGTCTTTGTTATTGGCAGACTGGCTTTTTAAAAAATTTCACAAATATTTTATGGACTGTCTCACTTACAACTTTTTCAGAGCCTGTTCATTGCTAAATTTCTTCTCTTAATCATCCTAGGCTACTAGACCAAAGTTTTCAAGGGGATGTAATAAAAACTCAAGAATTTCCAAGTATCCTTAGAGCTATTGGCAGAAACCCGGTGGGATATCCACTGGCCTGGCAGTTTCTGAGGGAGAACTGGAATAAGCTAGTACAAAAGTAAGTAGTGCCGAAAATCGTGCCGTGACTGGAAAAGTTCTTGAAATTTGCTGTGTTTGCTTTGTTTGTAAAACAAGTGATCGTCTAAAGGGGGGTTTTGATTGCAGCTAGAAAGTAGAGGTACTTAAAATATCCGTAGAAAATGCACCGCTCTAATGCATTGCTAGTTTATGGACCTGGATAGGCAGGTTTCTCACTCTGTCTGGAGTGGCCCCTTTCTGCACCCACTGGCCCATCTAGTGAGGTCTTGCTGCTGAGCACTTTTCCTGGCTTGCATCTGCCCTTGTCTAACTCTTTAGAGCATTACCACCTCTAGCATTTTCTTTTGGGTACTTCATCTTTTATTCAGCTGCTGGCGTATATTTTTTGCAACTAGATCTTTGTGGCTAGAGGGTAGGGAACATGTCCATGTTTTTTAGGCCTAACCAGTTTTTAGCTAAGTGATGTAACATATGAGGCAGTTAAAACTATATGTTGAAAGAATAAATATTTCACAGTATAACTTGACAATTTCCATTTCTAGGTTTGAACTTGGCTCAGCTTCCATAGCCTACATGGTAATGGGAACAACAAATCAATTCTCCACAAGAGCACGGCTTGAAGAGGTAAAAAAAAATCTTTTTTAAGCTTAAGTGACAATTACCTACTAAATGTGGGGTAGACAAAGCATTTTAAAGTTGTGATGAGTTGGAAATGGATTTTGTCACTTACTAGATGTTCTTTTTGGATGCTGTGGTGTTTTTAATGTAAGCAAAAATCAGTTACAAATGAACTAGTAAAACTTGTGTCTCTTCCCAAACACATTAAGAAATCTTATCCTTGCCATTACAAGTTTTAGAGCTTAAAATTACTTTAAACATTTAATCCCTGTCTCCAGATGTTAAATGTGATTATCAGAGGTACAAATATAACTGAAGCGGTCTCCTAGCTATTGTGAAAGGGGTAGGTGTGGAAGCTGGGTTCTCTACCATCCGAGTTCACGGTGTCCTGCTGCTTATTTATATGCCATCTACTTTCAGAAAGAATTTTAGGCAATTTATAAGGCCCATATATGAGAAATGTTAAAATAAAGAACAGAAAACTGCATAATGGAAAGAGGTAACTGTGTGAAAGTTTATACTGAGGATAATTTATTGCAATTATACCTTAAATTTATCACAGCTTTCCAGCAGTCAAAGAAAAATGAGAAAACAGTGTGAGATAATGCCACTGTCTGGTAAGAGGGGACTGTACAAGTTTTCCACAAAAACATACGTTTCTCCTAGTCTTAAACTCTTGAAAAATTTGACATATGGGTTGTTCGGGGTATCCCTTCTGTGATGTTTTTTATAGTAAAGTCATAAAACAGATTTTACATGGTTTTAAAACTGTTGCATTCAGATAAAATCTGAATCAAATATTAATTTTTTAAGGAATAGTTTCACGTGTAGTCTGGTTCCACCATGATCTAACTTGATATAGGATGAGTGCTTTGAAAATGCACAAGAAATGTCATGTCCCTTAGCTTGCGTCCACTTTTCAGCAGCCTCACCCAGTCTTGTGAAAACTAACTTGCACATCATGTTTGAGCTGGAGCTCCAGTGAGGGCTGCAGCAGAGGTATTCTGCGTGATGGCCTGGGGCTGTCCGTTGGCCGTGACTAGCTGGGCAGCTGGCCACAGACCAGATGTGTAGCAACAAGACATTTCACTCACTCACTTATTCATTCATTCTCATTAATTCATTCGAGACATTGTATCCTTACTATACCGCAGGCTTGGTTTTAGGTTCTGGGGTATGATGATGAACAAGATAGACAAAGCCCTTGACCTCATGGAGGTTAAATTCTACTGTGGCAATCAGACAATTACAAACAACCTTTGTCAGGTTGAAGACAATAAGGCAAGGTAAGGATAGAGAGTGACTGGGGAAGGGAGTGGTGCTATGTTTTATAAGATGATTAGGAGACACTTGTGTAGACAGTGAAGGAAATACAATATGCAGGAGAGTGTTGTCTGCATAGGAAATATCATGTGCAAAACTCTGAGGCCGGACAGGGAGATGGAGGAGACTTAGATATGGTCATAACAGAGAGTGTCCTACTGACATTTAAAACACAGGAGTCACCTCGAGCCTTTCCTTCCCCTCGTATCGAATCCATCCCCAAGTCCTGTTAGCCTTGTCTCCGACATAGGGACTAATTCCATGCCCTTTTCTCTGCCCCTTCCCCATCGAAGCCTTTCTTATTTTTTTGCCTGGACTGTGGCGATAGCTTCCTAATTGGCCTCCCTTCTGCCACTTTGCCATAAACCAAACCATTTTCCACATTTAAAACTGAAAATCAGCCCACGACTGACTTCCTTCTTGAAGCCCTGCCTGTTGCTCTTGCAGTAAATTCCAAATCTCTCCATCCTGTGTGCACAAGACTGCGATGACCTGGCCCCGGCGCGCCTCTCCCACCAATCTCACTTGCGCTCCTTGTTCACTAGCTCTCAACATTCGCACCGCTCAGCCCTGTCTCTGATCTCTAAGGCTCCACACTCTCTCTTCTCTGTCTGGCTTGCTCTTTCTCCAACTTTTTCCTGGAAAGAATCATTGTATCCTTTAGAGGTTCCAGCTCAAGAGTCACCATCTCAGGCCACTCTTGTGTACCGCAGGCCAGTCCCTCCCCAGTTACTGACATAGCCCTGGTTTATTTTCACGGCAGGATATTTATAGTAGTCGTAGTTTATTGCCTATCTTCCCAGGTAGAATGTAAGCTCCATGAGCGTAGGGTGCTTGCCCAACTCATTGCCTCATCCTCGGAACTAGCACAGTAACTAAGTATCAGTGTAAATATCCATGAATAAATGGTGAGGTAGAGTCCCTGATACGTGCTGGGTTTTAGTTCTGCACCTTATCCACATTATAGAACTACATCCTTACCTTCCCTCTGCAATGCAGAGATGACCCTCATTTAACAAATGAGACAGAGTCTCAGGGAAGTTAACTATTTGCTCAAGGTCGAAAAGATGTTTCTCTATTCCTATATCATGCTGCTTGCTGCACAGATGATGTTCTCAGGGAGGCAGTTTTGAATCAAATACTCAGAAGACATGCTGCATTCCCCAAGGCAGGTAATATAGGAAAGAGAACTTTGGGTCAGAAAAATTTGCGGGCTGGGGTTAACAATTAATTGGCTTTGTTACAGATCATGTAGGTCTGTTTTTTAGTGATGGCCTCACTATCATGATGGGCTCCTTCAGGATAAGACAATTTAACCAACTGGTAAAAATTATTGATATGTTTGGACTGAAGTGTGCCCAGATTAATTTTTAATTGAATATCAGTTGAGTTCTGAGAGTATGAATGAAGGCTGAGCTACAACTTAGGACAGAGGAGCAGAGTAAGTGTTTTCTAGGTGCAGGGGGACATGCCTCTAAGCTCGTTGAGAAGTTGCACTGCAGTACCCCAATTATAAAACTGCCCTGCATCATTTAAAGTTGAAATCTGATCTTTTCAAAACCCATTCTTAACCCCATCTTATTTTCAAACTCCTATGATGTTATGACATGGATATTTGAAAGGAATTAACTGTCTGGAAGCCCTGCATCTTGGCCTAGACTTGCTTCCTGTCTACACAATAAAAACATCGATTGATTAATGCTGTGAAAATCCATAGCAAAAGGTTAAGAACCCTTTAAGGTGAAACGGTAGCATCACCATCAATGCTTTGGCAACACCAGCCTCTCCCTCACGTGAGCTCAAAGGGGTGAAGATACCCAGCAATGAAACAACGACAAAAGTATTTTCGAAGACATAACCAAGAGTTTCTTACCTCTTTTAAGCCATGGACACCTTTGTGTGGATTTTACCTTGAGGGAACAATTCCTGAATTGTGGATTAGGAAAACAAAAACTTGGCAAAGTTTGGGCTATTACCACCATAACTTGCTAAGCACCCCACCCTCAGTGTTCCTGTAATAACACGCAAGGCCATGTCCACGGAGAAAGCCTACACTTATGGGATTGAAACTGTTTTGCTTGGCAAAGAGACGCTGCACATTCCGCTTTTTTAGATGTGTTTTAAAAAATTAAGTTTGCATCTGTGTGTATATAACCGAATACACACTAAATAAACACATTCAATTAAACCTTAATTATAAAGTGGCAAACAGTGAAGTTTTTTAGAATCTGGCAACTGTGAATAAACTAAAAAGCTGCTGAGAAAAACACACAAAACGACATCAGGAGGCATGAGTTCATTGCCCGTAGCTTAAGTTTGTGTACATAATCGTATCCAGACACCTGGCGCTGGCTTCCACGCAGAATTTTGACAAATGCCGGCATGTTGGCTTCAGTTTTCTTTAACCAGCCTGAACTTATATTTGTATAATGTAATAAAGGAAAAATTTTAAGAACCTATTTTTTTCTTTCAAGGTAAAAGGATTCTTCAGCTCCTTGAAAGAAAATGGTTCTCAGCTCCGCTGTGTCCAACAAACAATCGAAACCATTGAGGAAAACATACGTTGGATGGACAAGAACTTCGATAAAATCAGAGCGTGGCTCCAAGATGAAAAGCTGGAACTGCTGTAACAATTCGTTCCTTGTTGGTCCCTGTGATTTATCACCACCCAAATTCTGTTGGATGTGAATGTTTTCACACTGGAGATGGCTATTTTGGTCCCCACTGAATACACTTCCTTTTCCTTCAACTTCTTGCTCACTTGACAAGTCCCATGAAAAGTCTGCTGTTAAGCTTCAGTCAATGGCTTATGGCTGGCGTGTGTTTCATTTACCGGTGTTGCCCACAGTGTAAACCCAACTGGTGGGTTCCCCACCACCAAGGAGTGAGGTGCCTTATTCTTCCCCCTTTATGTCTTATACCTGAGCCCCACAGTCTCCAAACCCTTCCTCCCCTCATGTCTGTCATTCATATGCTGTTTTGTCAGCTCCTCGAACACTCTGAACAGTGGAGACTACTGACAGTGACCCCCTGGATCAGTGAGAAGCCAGGATGAGGCTGGTCTGCTTCCTACCTTCTCTTCCTTGCTGCACACCAGGGGGGAACGTGTAGGGCCATGTCACCAGGGTTCCTTGCCCCCTGTCTTGTGGTCAGTGTCCCAGAAGGGCAGATGGGAGCTGGGGTGGGAGAGAGGAGATGGGGTGTTTTTCCTAGTTCCCTTGCAGGTTGCCGCAGGTTGGCCTTCACAAAGGTTTTAAATCTGGAGGAGCAGCCCTCTTTCCCACACGGCCCCCCTCATCTCTGTTCCAGTAACTGCTTCCTTTCCTCACCCCATCAGGGTGCAGTGGCAGCCTGCCTAAGGTTTCCATACAGCCCTGACTCTACCTTTGCTTCAAAACAAAACACCTTTTACAGAACCCTCCTCAGGTAACCCTAATTTGAGCGTGTCATCTACTTCCTCAGGGACCCTGACTGTACAGTGTCCCTTCTCAAACAGCAGGTACGTTCAGGTCTAGAGGAGAAACCTGTCATGTGAAGTTGAACCTGAGAGCCGTTGATGTTTATTTAGGTCGGTGGTTCCTCTCCCTGCTTGTTACCTGGTCTCGTTTACAATTCCAGAATATCTCACTGTAGTCTCCGGTAAATGATAATGCACTATGAAACTGAAAATATTTATTTATATTACTCTAAATGAGAACTCTTTTGTGAGGTTTTTAATATACTGCAAAATTTTCAAGAGAAAGGAATATGATATGAAAAATGTCAAAATGTGTTCTGATACACTAGGAATAGTGACTTTTCTGTACATGTGTTTACAATTCCATGTTTATACACAATGCATGGTTTAATGATTTGAGAAATAAAAACAGAAATAATCACTGGGAATTTCCCCCCCTATGTATTTTCCTTCTGAAAAACCATACAAAGCCAAGATTTTAATGTAAAATATTTTTCTTTAATTGTATTTTATATCTTGATTAATGAAACATGGAAATAGTGATTTTCAGTTTTGGTCACCTGAGGAACCTACTTTTGTTTGCTTTTGTAGATGTCCATTTCCTAAATAGATACAATACTGCTTCATCAATGTGCAAAACCTTTTTGGTAATAAAAAGTTGTCTATTATATACCTCTAAGGGGATATTTGTAATTATTTCCTCCTAATCAGATGGGTAAAAAAGGACTGATTTAGATCCTGTAGCCTATTTAAGTCATCATTAATTATTAGCACATGTCCACATCTTGAAGACATTTCTAATATACAAAAAAGCATACTCAGAGTACCTTAAATAATTTACTTTCATAGGCATTTCTTAAATCTTTGGGTTTTGGCATGTCATTTAAAAAATATATGCCTGGAAGTTAGTAATACTGCAGCCATAGCCTTGCAAACAAATCTGTCCATGTCTAATGTTTTATCTTTTTTTAACAAAGAAACCCCACTTTATACTAACCAAATGGAAGAATTAGATACATAATTAACATTCCTCAGAAACTGTGTTTTGTTTTCTCGTCAGTGCTTGAAAAGGTCTGTCTAGTCACCATAGCACGGGCTTGGATGTCCCAGACTTAGACTAATAGGAAATGCCTGTATCTCTGGTGGGACAGGACAGCCCTTGACGTGGGTGGAGTCTGAAATCCCATAGGTTTCTGAATGATTTTTAAAGAGGATTTGTAGAAAGTATTAACAAAATCTGATGTCCATGATGAGCAGCATTATTTTTGCTTGTTCCTCCCTCTACATTAGACAGTATTTCCAATATCATATCTAGTGAAGTCAGCTAAGCCCTAATAAATAAAACCTCTAAAGAGATGCTAAGGAAGGCTGTGCTCTCCAAAAGAAGAAATTCCAAGTCAGTTGATGATAAGTACCTGATATCTTTTCCGGCATTCACTACTGAGAAGTAAAGATGAAATCAAATATTTATCATAATCTCATCAATGACACCAGTGTGACGTTCATGAACAATCCATTCAGAAATATCTAAGGAACCCTTCTGAGTTGTAGGACATCAGAGCCTAGTTCTTAAGTTGCTTTCAGGCTGGGGAGCAAATTTTTAAATTCCAAGTTTTTTTAAAGCAGAAATTCAGCTTTGTATTTGGTAAACCTAATTTTCATAAAGCCAAATGCTATACAGTGCAAAGACTAGAGCTGCAACGGCCCTAAGCAAACAATTGCTGCTAAGGTTTTCTATAGTGAGTGGAAGGCACAGCTTAACAGTAAACCAATCGAGTTCAAGCCACGTGAATAATCTAAGAAGTAGACTTTATTATTCTTGGAACGTGCTGTGCAGTGACATATACTCTGTATCTTGCTCTCCTGACCTGATTCGAGTTTCAGCGTGTTCTGTGCTGACTCTAAGGGGCAGAATCCCTAACCTCTGAAGAGGGGTGCGGTGCTTCCTGGTCCATCCAGGTTCCCTATTAATTTACCGTTAGCAGTGCAAGAGGAGATACGTGTCCAATGCACAATTTTTTATATCAGACTTATAAACATTAACCCAAAGAAACGTCAAATACGGTTCAAAAGCCCAAGAGAAAAGGGGTAATGAGAAATCAGAACATTGAAGAATGTTTAAGTTGTTGTTTTCCAAATGCTAACAACAGCAACAAAAAATTATGTGCAAACCAAAAAATACTAATGAGATTTACAGGCACTGTGTATAGAATGTGCAAAGTTTGCAAAGGTTTTTCCTTCTGTGGGGGCGAGGGGGTGCGTTGCTTTAAGAAACTATCAAATGTATCTCTTAGAAATATAAAGTTCCTTTCTCTCCCAACTCAAGGCAATTTTGAAAAATTCAAGGTTTATCAATACTCCGTACAATTAACACATGTGAACCGGACATTCAATTTCTTTCTGGGAAAGGAATATGAAACCGATATTTAGGATGTCAAAAACAAAAAAAACCCAACAAAAAACCTCAACAAATATCACCGTCTAGAAGCCACCCAGAAAAAAATTGTTGTCAAAGCCTTTTGTTCTTCAGAAGTCACCCTTCACCAGCTGTAGATTTTATATGTGGATACCTTGAAAAATTCAAAGAAAAAGAAATCCAGTGAATGACATTGGCATGCAATTTTTTTTGTTGCTGTTACAAGTCATGGTAAATGTAACATTTAGCAAAAAGCATTTTATAAATGACCAAAAGGAATTTCCTATAGGTAAATATGAGAGTGGATAATTAACAGATTTTTCTTAATTTGGGGAAAAATCTTTAGAGGAGTTCTAGTCCATACACCTCCTCCTCTCCAGGGAACAAAAGTGGCCATGGTGAGAGCTCAATTTAACCTACATCTTTATTTCCTTTAGGCTTTGATTGGCAAGCAGCTATAAGCTTTTTTTTTAAAAGAAGGAAATCTTACCTTTAAAAATATTTTATTTATTTATATTTAGAGAGAAGAGGAAGGGAAGGGAAGGAGAAAGAGAGGGAGAGAAAAATCAATGTGTGGTTGCCCTTTGCATACCCCTACTGGGGACCTGACCTGGAACTCAGGCATGTGCCCTGACTGGGAATTGAACCAGTGACCCTTTGGTTCACAGGCCTGTGCTCAGTCCAATGAGCTATACAAGCCAGGGCATCTTTTATGGCTTAGAATAAGGACTCTTCTTTCTGAAGTTAACAAGTTAAAGGCTCAGGTCTCAAGATAGACCTCAGTGATGCCTTCACTCATACAAACTCCTAAGTTACATTAAGTAGAATCAAACATAGTATTTTATTTTCCCCAACTAAGATGAACAAAAGTGGTCAATCTCTTTCTTTACCCTTGGTTCCAAACACCCTGCAATTTCCACCAGACCCTAAGGGGTACTTCTCCCTACCTACCATGTGTTGGTACCAATAACATAAGGACATTTCACTAGAAGAGGTAGTACAATATGCTAATTTTGCTTTGCTGCAGTAACCTACAATCATCAGCATTTGGGTTTCAAAGAGTCAACTAGACTTAGGTGGTCATTTTTCTTTAAGACTGTGGCCTAATATTTTGAAGAACCCTTAATTATAAGATTAATGGTTTTTAACATTCCAATACCACAAGCATCCCATTCAGTGCTATATATAAAGAATTACTCTATAGATTTTGCCATGTGCATTTCATGCCAATAGTATACAGAAAACATGAAAGGCTCAAGAATTTTTTTCTCTGAGTATTTCAAGAAGTACTTAGTTTCTCTGGCCTGTAACACACAGCTGTCAGAAGGTATGGTTGCCTTCACTTACAACTATACCCAACTTACCAGATAGTGGCAACTCTAACTCGTATTTTCTTCATCAGCTTTTGGCTTGGAGGTTTCCTCCTTTGCCTACAAGGAAAAGCAAAACCACCAATGAGCTCTTTCTTTTCTGGATTAGATATGACAAAACTGACCAGCCAGAAGATTCTTAGGAGATGGTCTTCTCAGAATTAAAGAGGTAAAAGATGGTAGTCAGTTGGAGAAGATAAGATGGTTCTAATTATCTTTTTTTAATTTAGCCACAATACTATGAATTGTTCCCCTTTAAGTTTATAAGCTAAAAATAACCTGAAGTGATTCTAAATATTTTAACCTAGACGTTTTTTTTGAAGACCGAAGTAATTGAAGGAAAAAATAAATAGTAAGTGTTCTTGGATGGCACCGTTTAATATTCTGTGGTGATTCCTCTCCCTGTAAGGGCGGCATAGCTGGCCAGCTAGTCTGCTCAGCATGCAGGGTTACTATGCTTTCTACTTTATGTAAAAGGCTTGATCATGTGCTTTGTATAACCTAAGTGAAATAAGAAGCAAATGAATCTATTTGAGATAATGGTATGCACAACTAATTATCAATCTGGTTTCTTGTATACTTCATGGAGTTTACTATCTCTTTCGTTGATGTATAATTGATGTATTAGTTTTAGATATACAACATAATGATTTGATATTTGTATGTATTCTGAAATGATCACAATAAGTCTAGTTAGCCTCTGTCACCACACATAGTTACAAATATCTTTTTTCTTGTGATGAGACTTTCAAGATCTCTCTTAGCGACTTTAAAATATGCAATGTAGCATTGCTAACCACAGTCACCATTTGTTTCATTAGATCCACCCATGTTTTCACAAATGACAAGATGTCATTCTTTTCTAATGGCTGATTAATATTCCATTGCTATACATGCATCACCATTTTAAAAATCCATTCATTCACAGATGGACACTTAGGTTGTCTGCATGTCTTGGCTATTATAAATAATGTTTCAGTGAACAAGGGGACCACATATCTTTCTGAGTCATTGTTTTCATTTTCTTTGGGTAAATATCCAGCAGCTGAATTGCTGGATCATATGGTGGTTCTCCTTCTAATTTTTTGAGGAACCTCCCTACTCTTTTTCCAAAGTGGCTGTACCAATTTACATTCCCACAAACACTGTACAAGAGTTCCCTTTTCTCTACATCCTCGCCAACATTTGTTATTTCTTATCTTTTTAGTAGCCATCCTAACAAGTGTAGGGTGATGCCTCATTGTGGTTCTGATTTCCATTTCCATGACAATTCGTGATGTTGAGCACTTTTTCACGTACCTATTGGCCATCCGTATGTCTTTTTGAAAAAAAAGTCTATTCAGAAACTTTTGTCCATTTCTCAATGGGATCACTTGCTTTTTGTTATTCATCTCTCTGAGTTCTTTTTATAGTCTGGATATAAACCCCTTATCAGATACATAATTTGCTAGTATTTTCTCCTGTTCAGTAGGTTGCCTTTTCATTTGTTGGTAATTTCCTTTGCCATGCTTCTAAGAAGCTTCTTTTTGGTTTGATATCGTCCTGCTTATTTGTTTTTGGTTTTGTTGCCTTTGCTTCTGGTGTCAGTTACATAAAATCACCACCAAGACCATGGTGAAAAAGCTTACTACCTATTTTTTTGTCTAGGAGTTTTATGGTTCAGGTCTTATGTTCAAGTCGTTAATCCATTTTGAGTTAATTTTTGGGTGTGGTATAAGACAGTGGTCCAGTGTCATTTTGCACATGGCTGTCTAGTTTTCCCTGTACTATTTATTGAAGAGACTGCCCTTCCTCCATTGTATAGTCCTGTTTCCTTTGTCATAAACTAATCGACCATATATTCATGGGCTTATTTCTGGGCTCTATTCTGTTATATTGATCTATGCGTGTTTATGCCAATAGCATACTTATTTTTTGAAATTATTTTAAATTAAATTTATCGGGGTAATTTGGTTAATAACATTATCTAAGTTTCAGGTGTTCAACTTTATAATTTATCATCTGTATATTTCATTGTGTGCTCACCACCCACATCTGGTCTCCTCCTGTCACCACATGTTTGAACCTCTTTACCCCCCCACCATCTCCCTTCTTCTCCAGTAACTACCATACTGTTGTCTGTGCTGATGAGTTTAGTCTGTTTTTTGCTTTACATATGACATATGAGTGGAATCACATGGTTCTCGTCCAACTTATTTGACTTAGCATGATACTCCAGATCCATTCATATTGTTGCAAATGGCAACATTTCATCTTTTTAACAGCTAAATAGCATTCTCTTGTATATTTGTACCACATCTTCTTTATTGAGCCATCAGTCGAAGGACACTTAGGTTGTTTCTATGTCTTGGCTACTGTGAATAATGAATATAGGGCACAAATATCTTTACAAATATTTTTTTTTCAAGTAGATACTCAGAAGAGGGAATTTTTGTATCACACAGTAGCTCTAGTCTTAGTTTTTTGAAGTACATACCTCCATACTGTTTTCCATTGAGCCTGTACCACTTACATTCCCACAGTGCACGAGGAATCCCTTTCTCCACATCCTCCCAACATTGGTTACTTTTTGTTTTATTGATAATAGCCACTCTAACAGGTATAAGGTGTTGCCTCATGCAGTTTTGATTTGCATTTCACTTATAGCTAATTCTTGAACATCTTTTCGTATCTCTGTTGGCTATCTGTATGTCTTGGGAAAGTGTTCAGGTCCTCTCCCCATTTTGTAAATTGAACTGTTTGTTTTTGTTGAGTTGCATGAGTTTTGTATAGATTTTGGATACTAGCCCCTTGTTAGATGAATAGTTTACAAATATTTTCTCCCATTTGATTGGTTGCTTTTTTGGTTTGTTGATTTTTTTTTTTTTTTTTTTTTTTTTTTTTTTTTTTGCTATGCAGGAGCATTTTAGTTTGATGTAGTCCCATTTATTTATTTTTGCTTTTCCTTCCCTTGTCTTTGGGACCAGGTTCACAAAACACCTTCTGAGACCAAGGTCTGTAAATTCATTACCCATTTTCTTCTATGTATTGTATTGTTTCAGATATTATACTCAAGTTTTTAAACTATTTTGAGTTAATTCTTCTGTAATTACTGTACTGTTTTGATTACAATGGTACTATAATTTGAAATCAGAGAGTGAGTGCCTTCAGCCTTTCTTGCGTTCTCAAGATTGCTTTGATTATTTAGGGTCTTTTGTGGTTCCATACAAATTTTAGGATTGTCCTACTTCTGTGAAAAATTCCAATTTTGATAAGGATTACACTGAATCTGTAGATTGTTTTGGGTAGTATGGACATTTTAATGTTATTTCTTCCAATCCATGAGCATGAAATCTCTTCCCTTTTATTTGTGATTTCTTCTATTTCTTTCATTAATGTCTCACAGTGTTTAGGTCTTTCACCTCCTTGGTTAAATTTATTCCTAGGTATTTTATGCTTTTTGATGCAGTTATAAATAGGATTGTTTCTTAATTTCTCTTTCTGGTCATTTATTAATATATAGAAATGCAACAGATTTTTGTATATTGATTTTGTATGCAAATTTACTGAATTAATTTATCCTAACAGTATTTGGTAGAGTATTCAGAATTTTCTATAAATAATATGTCATCTGTGAATAGTGACAGTTTTACTTCTTCCTTTCCAATTTGGATAACTTTTACTTCCTTTTCTTGCCTAATTGCCCTGGCTAGGACTTCTAGAACTAGGTGGGATTAAAGTGGAGAGAGGGGGCATCCTTGTCTTGTTCCAGACCTTCGAAGAAAAGCTTTCAGTTATGCACCGTTGAGTACATGTTAGCTGTTGCACATATGCCATATATGACCATTATGCTGAAGTACATTCCCTCCATATCCTCTATGTTGAGAGTTTTTATCATAAATGGATGTTGAATTGTCAAATGCTTTTCCTTCATCTATTGAAATGAGTATGTAGTTTTAATCTCTCATTTTATTAATGTGGTGTATCATACTGACTGATTTGCATATGTTCAACCAAACTGGAATCCCTGGAATGAATTCTACTTGATCATGGTGTATTATTCTTTTACTGTATTGTTGAACTCAGTTTGCTCATATTTTGTTGAGGATTTTTGTGTCTGTGTTCTTCTGGGACGTTGGCCTGTAATTTTATTTTCTTGTAGCATCCCTGTCTGGCTTTAGTATCAGGGTAATGCTGATCTTGTAAAATGAGATTGGAAGTATCCCCTCCTCTTCCATTTTTTGGAAGAGTTTGGGAAGGATTTGTATTCATTCTTCCTTAAATGTTTGGTAGAATTCACTAGTGAAGCTGTCTAGTCCTGGACTTTTGTTTGTCGGGAGGGTTTTTTAAATGATTCTTATTTATTTTTTAGGGAGAGGGGAATGGAGGGAGAAGGAGAGTAGGGGAAACATTGATGTGAGAGAGATACATTGACCAGCTGCCTCATGTACGTGCCCTGACTGGGGACTGAACCCACAACCTGGGTATGTGCCCTTTTGCTTTGCCAGACGACACCCAACCAACTGAGCCACACCAGGAAGGGCTGTTGGGAGGTGTTTGATTAGTGATTCTCCTTACTAGTAATCTATTTTCTGTTTCTATTTCTGCATGATTCAGTCCTGGAAGAATGTATGTTTCTAGGAATTTATCCTTTTGTTCTAAATTGTCCAATTTCTTGGCATAAAACTATTGATACTAGTCTCTTAAAAATCAATTTCTACTTCTGCATGATTCAATCTTGGATGACTATGTTTCTAGGAATTTATCCTTTTGTTTTAAATTTTCCAATTTCTTGGCATAAAACTGTTGATACTAGTCTCTTAAAAATCAATTTCTGTGGTAGTATCAGTTGGAACGTCTCTTCTTCCTGATTTTCAGTCCTATTTTTCTTGGTGATCCCAGCTAAAGCTTTCTCAATTTTATCTTTTTAAAACACCAGCTATTAGTATCACTGATCTTTTCTATTGTATTTCTAATTTCTATTGCATTTAGATTATTTCTAATCTCTATTATAGGAGCTGTGGGATTTTTGTTTGTTTTTTTTCAAGTTCCTTGAAGAGTAATGTTTATCTGAGACTTTT